AAAATAAGGTTGCGGACCATTTTGTTGAATACTTTGTGGAACACTCGCCCAAGCAATAGCGCTTTCCTTTATGTTGAGTTTTAGGTCTCATAAATCGACTCGACATGTCTTCGAGGGAGAAATGGAAGACAACTGATTTAATTTTTGCTAACTATGAATGCCTAATATCTTGCAATTCCTTTGACAATTCTAATTTTCTATAGTTTGGCAAGCACATTCTTTAAAAAAACAATAGGAAAATAAACAATTTTCAGGAGAAAGTAAAAAAAGCTTCTAATGTGACAATTCCGCTTTCAATTAATCGTTTAGAAATTCCCTTGATAGTTCAGTCGTTTCATGAAGGCGCCATACAAACAGTTATATTTGACGCCGGAATATTTAATAACGGCGACATAAGTTGATAATTTTAATCGATGAAATGCAGCAAGATATTCAATTTTTCAAAAATATTAAAATGAGAATTATTATAAAGTTTGATAAGCCGTATACAGAACTCGAGAGCGTGTTGTATCGGGGCTAAACATCCTCGCCTTCGGCTCGGATCTTTATCACCCGATACAACACGCTCTCTCGTTCTGTATACATTACATCACGTTGTATTACGCTTTAGCTATCACACTTTCAATGCACTGCGAATCTTACATTTATGAATATTCTCAGTGACATCAGATTAGTCCTTTAGCTTTGACTAGCCACTCATGATGTTCTTCACTTAAAAAAGAACAAATACTCCAAAACAAAAAAAACAAAACAAAAAACACACACACACAAGGAATGCAAGAGTGAGGTCATTTATCCCTTGAAACAAAATCTACCTGAAGGTACAAAGTAAAAAAAACTAGAGCGTACTATTCATGTTAGACTACGGCTAGCCGCTATAGTTTTACCTTTTCTCCAATCTATGTATCTGTCGTGTCGCAGTTTTCAGTCTCTCGAGAACCACAGGAAGCCATATGTCATATCTAATTTATTCATATCTATTAGTTTGCAGTGTCTCTTGAACCACAGGAAGCCATATGTCATATCTAATTTATTCATATCTATTAGTTTGCAGTGTCTCTTGAACCACAGGAAGCTATGTCGTAAAATACTCATGCTTCATAGTCTCCATATGGTCGTCCTATTTCGGGCGTCGAAGAAACGTTTTCTGAAGAGAGTTCTTCAAAATGATGAAAAATCTACGTGTAAAGAAGCTCAAACTGCTCACCAATGAACACGCCGTTCGCGGTAGACTCACATTAAAAGATGTCTATGAGCCTCAGTTTCGAATCTAGTCGTTCCGCGAACTCCGCTATGAAACTCGAATGAACTCAAAGAATACTCAGAAATACTGGGAAAATGCTTCTAACTCTACTGCAGCAATATAGACGCTAATTACGTCAAAAACAACAGTGATGCCATATTGGATTTTCTCTATAAGACGAAGATCAGACCTCCACAATCAGCTCTACGCTTACAGCGATAAGTTTATTGTTTACAATATCGATACTTTATTTATTGGAATTTAGTTTTGTGAATGATTTACTGTTGTTTATCGCATTTTTGTCTCTAAGTTATGCTACATCTAACAATTAGACCCGAAGCCCGTAGCCCATGAGGGCGAGAGGTCTAATTGTTTTAGTATCCAACAACGTTTTCATTTGATTCAAGTTTTCTAGATTTTCAGAAACAAAATATTATTTCATTTWTTTGCGAAAGGTGTCAAGCACCACAGTCAGGTTTGTGGACTATGGAAATCCAGACAAAGCTCATGATTGTAAGCCGCGCGTGGCTGCCAATTGCGCCTTAAACAGCAGTCCGTGTAAAATGATCTATACATGTGAAGCGCCTTTGAACTCAGAGGATATCGGCGCTATATAAATACCACATACCACATACCTACCACAGAGTCTCGGAGGATGCTCTAAGAAAAGTACCGGAAAACTACTTCAAAGACATTCCTGCACGGGCTGTAAGATATTGCCTTTGCCTGTCTGGTGTGAAACCTTTAGAAACAGGATGGTCCGGTGACACCAAAAACGTTATGCAGAGTTTGGTCCCAGAATGCTTCAATGGTCAGTTTATGGAGAAAATGCGGAGGGAAGTTGGATAGTCTCTCTTTCTGTGGGTGATATGGGCGTAGCGGAGGAATTAATCAGGGCAGCAGTTATAGAAATGGTTCATCAGGTTAATCGAAATTTTCTCCTTACAGTCCTCTTCCCACTGATAGCTCCCATTCAGTGTTTATTTCCCATGTTAGGTGTGTGTTGCTTAGCTTTTACAATAGCTTCACTACCGATTTTTGGCAGAAGTTTACTTGCTGATTATTGAAACGTTAGCCTTTTGTTCCGGCAAGAATAGAGAATCTGGATTTGAAACTTGCCTTATTCGTTCCAACATGACATCACATTGCTGCTTTCTCGAGCACATGGTAAAAGATATATTTGACTGTTGCACTTGGTGAAAGTCGCTGTTAAAGTGGTTTGATAAAATTAAACATCGTAAAAGGAGAAGAAAAAATCACAGCAAAGAACAATATATAGATTGCTATTTTATTTTTTCACATTGCTGAGAAGTGAACTAAAGTAATAATTAACATGTTTTTTTCTCAAAGTTACAAGAATAAACCATATAACTAAGCTTAGCAATCTGATCAGGTCTGAATTTTACTACATAGAACTTGGCTTTTTCTATGATTTCAGACATTAGATACTAGCTACTAAGCGGGAGCAGTTTTCTTTTGCCCATTCTCCTTTATGATTAAGATTTGTCGAATAGCTTGAGACTCCTTAGCTGTAGCAGACACCAAGATGTTGTTGTATGCCATCACTATAGCTTGGATRCTCTTCATGCAGTCGAAATCCAAGGCTGATTTCTCTTTTTGACTTCTGCAGCCAACGCTATCCAGAAAGGGCTTGATATTTTTGTTAAAGTCCGGGATTTCGACGGCCCCTTTACTTCGAAATTGGTCCGTCCAGYGAAAAGTTATCKCYTCAGGATCGGGTTYTGGGTACTGCACGACAAGTATAGCTGCTTTCAGTGCGTTTGCAGGATTAGGGATTCTGGATAAAATCTTGTAAATGTTTTTCATGGCATTGAAAGTGCGGAACAAATATTTGCTCATTTTGAGGAGGCAGGCTTCTACTTTAAGCTCAGTGCAGTGATCGTATTCTTTGTTGGAGTCAGCCCAATTCTCGATCATAGACGCCCAATAATCCATTACTGTAGTGGTTGCCTTGACATCGGCTGATTTCATTTGAAGATCACCAACCACGTGACGCATGGCTCCTCTGGTGTGATAGGCCTCKGCTGCATACACTAGGGCTACAGACATCTGAAAAAAAAAACAAAGAAAGAGCGTCCTTAACTCAAATATCTTTAATACAAACTCAATTGCAAAATCACTGTACTGATAACATAGAAGTTGAGACCGTGAAAGGACGTATTTTGCGAAACATATCAAATAATTGCTAACATTCGTACGGGCTACCTGGGAGGGGACTAGGCCAAAATTATAATGGCCGACATGTTGAAAAGCGATTTCTCTGCAAATTCTGTAAGTTTCAGCCATTTTAAAGCACTAAAAGGTGGAAAAAACTTGAAAAAAACTTTCTATCATACTTCCTTATTAAGGTAAGATTACCATATATAGTCAGCAAAAGTTTGGCAAACGAATGAATGTTTCTCTGAGGCAATTGTTTGATATGTATCGTGCTTATCTCCTGCTATACGCATTTGACATAAATTCATTATGTGATTCCTGTTGGAAATAAATTCGGAAAAATTAATTTCTAATTCCGCATCGCTGATACTTTATGACGATAATCGTCATCGATATGACAGAATTCTTACCTCTGACATGTAGCTAGCGATTTCTTGGTAGTCTCTCTTATCAAAATGTTTTTTGGCTTCCGTCACTCTTTCTTCGTAGATTTTATTATGTTCGCTTCTCAGGTCGTCAATATTCTTCACACCTTTCTTGTTTTTATCCCAGCCTTCAAGCTTTTTAATAAATCCTGTAAAAAATTGGTTTCGGTCGGGCACAGACTTGACCAGTCCCAGGCCACCAAGATTGGCTTCAGCATCGGCTTTAAGTTCTTTGTAAAAAGAATCTCTGAATTTGTACATCTGCGTATGACATGAATAATGTAAATACTCGCTTTAATATTTGTGGATGATGTCAATTAAAGGATTTAAATTAATTACATTTAATTAATTGATCAAATTGTATGGGAATTACAACCTCGAGCCGAAGGCGAGAGATTGTAAAGCGCATACAAAACGGACTCGAATGTTGTAAATGACTTGTGAAACGTTTAGGTGCATACATTCATAATCTACTAAAAATTTAAACTATAAAATTGAATTTGGCTGAGAAAATAAGATTTGAAGTTTATACAAATCAAGACAATTTTGTATCAAATATTACAAAACTGTTCACGGTTGTGATTTCTAATGTGTTTTCCTCATTAAATATTCATGGTTTTACAAGGAATCTTTTTACAAGGTACGGAGGATATGATGAGATTTCATAAGGATGTTCTTCGCTTCTTTATTGAAGAAAAATCAAAATGGCGGAAACATTATTGGGGGGGGAGGGGGCTACAGCCCCCCCTGCTCCGCGGTCCCTGTCTTTTTTTCGTTTTGCGTCAAAGAAGATCTATTTCTAAAGCTTATAATATTATTATATAAACGATAAACCTAACAAGCACAATGGGAGATATTCCTAGCTGA